TTGACCGATCTGTTCTCCAGCCCTCTATCGCGACTATTTGCTACAGCTTTCTTTCATCGACTTTCTCTTTCTCAGTAGAATTCTACACCTGAAGAAAAAAAAAGGTAAGAATATCCGATAATTTGATCAAATAATAATAGGTACAAGCCAAAATTATGTCCACTTTCGGCAGCACAAGGGAAAAAAAGATACAAAAAGTCAGTGAATTGTTCGATTTTTTTTTTAATTTTCAGCATTTATTCATGGGTAATTTGATTTTGCCCCGCGCTAAATCATAAAAAACCCAGGTTGTGTGTGTGTCGTTCGTTTATATATTGGATCGGATTTCCTACATTTTCATACGATTTCAACAAAACTTCACAGGGCTACATAAAATTACCTTTGCGGTGGTTCTGACAGCACCAAAAATTGGAAAAAACACAATTGTTTTTAATGAAATCAATTTGAAAAACATGATTAAGAGGCATCACTATCGCCAGAATGAAAGGGAGACAACTCATATCAAGTTATACTTATAAAACCCACGTTGTTTGTGTGTGTTCGTTTATATGGGATGGGATTTCTACATTTTTTAAACCGATTTCAACAAAACTTCACTTTTTTATTTTGGCAGGTAGTGTTTCTTATTGTCTTGTACACTTTTTTTTTTTTTATTTTTACATTCAGAATGCTTTAAAAATTCCATTTACAAGGCAATTGTTTATAATAAAATTCTATTCAATCGGTAGACTCATAACGATTGAAAACAATGTTTTGTTTGAGTTTGACCAATTCAGAAAAAAAAAACAAACAAAAAAAACTAATTAAGACATGAGTGTCCGTCAACCTTAAACAATAATATTTGTCAATTTTATTTTTCAGTCTTTATGATGGTCAATACTTGATCTATCTCTTACTGTTACATCCCCGGGCAACACCGGGCTCTACTGCTAGTATGTAATAAAATTTGCTGAATAGTAGTATTTAATTTAGGTGTAAAAAAAAAACGTATACTTAATTCGAAAATAACAAATAAAGATTTGTTCATCTCCTGAAATAAACTAAAATCGAAAAAAATCTATTTTTGTCCTGTAATTCACCAGTATATTTAGGACCCTTCATGAGATCACTAAAAACAAAGCATATGATGAAAAAGACGCCAATCTTGACGAAAACAAAATTTTATCCTCTAAATGTTTATGTTATTAGTAAGAGGAAAGATTGAAGTGTTTTTTTTTAATTATTTAAAAAAAATTTTTCCTTCTTTTTAGAACATTCTAAATTTTGATTAAACAAAAAAAAAAAAAAAACCTTCTTTCTCTTTGTATCATCGGAACTATGAAATTTTAGCACTTTTTTTATGTGTGTGACAGACATTAATCTGGAAAAAAATAATTGTCAGATGTTAATGAAACTTTCAGAAACTATTCATAAATGATGGAACTTATTACAAATATGTTTTCCTTTTTTAAAGTCATGGCAAAATTTTTTTTTTTTTCATATGTATTTCCCCCCTGCATAACTAATTGTACGAAAACTCTATAATTTCAATTTTGGGAAGATTAGTGATTATATTAGTTAAAAGCTTTGAGGAAACCATATGTTTTTTTTTTTTTTTTAAATCATCTCTGAATTGTAACATACAAAACTCAATAAAACAAAAATATTATTTAATTTCGAAAGCTTTTAATTGCTTTTATTTATTTTAATGAATATGGGCAATATTGTCTGAAAGCAAAAAGATATTTCGATGAAAAATGAATTTTTAAAACAATTATTTGTTATTTCTGTTTATTTTATTATTTTTACATTATGTTGTTAATTCTTCTTCTAAAATTAGGGAAAAGTTTGTAAAATTTAACGAATGTTGTTATTAGGTAGATATATATTTACAGATTATAATTTCCAAACCTTCTTACAAACTAACAAATACCAGTATATAAAAAAATATAATTTGTGTCAATAATATGACTGCAAATCAAATCTACAGAAGTTTGGAAGTATCATGCGTGCAATAAAAAAAATGTCATGTGGATTGAGTTTCAATCTAGTATTTAACTTAAATACTGAATTTTTAATACTAATTTTTAATTTGTTATTTCTTGAATTGTAATAGATTTTTAAATTTGTTGAAATATTATAAAATTAGTTAAAAGCTGCATTCAGTTTCGTAAATGTCCTTTTGAGAAACATGTGTGGAGAAGTTAATTTAATTTTTCAATTTTAACTGAGAAGGGTACCTACAAGTATCAGTATCATCTTATGAAATTTAAATTGGTATTTTATGTACACTTTTGATAAAATTTCATAAGAAAGGTACCTATAAATTAATTAGATACCTTTCTTATGAAATTTAATCTCACTCTTAACAGTCTTATTTTAATTTCTTTATAATATATTTTCCATAAAGCATCATAAATGTAAAGGTGAAAGCTAAGTCCAAAAAAAAAATTAGAGCGCTGAAAGTTTTCCTTAAAAATAACAAGGTAAATAATTTGTTCACTTAAATCTAAATAATTTCACTTTTCTCCTTCCGTAGAACAAATTATCCTCATGTAATCTGCCAATATGTCATTCATCACCTGTCAAGTGACATGAAAGGTTATGACCTGCTTTGATTTATTTTCAAACTACATCTTTTCGGCGTAGAAGCTAAGTTAAGCTTGTTTCAAAATATCTTAAATAAACATTATAATTTCTGATTTTCTTAAAATAAGTTCTGAAAAAATTATAATTGATTTTTAAAAGATTTTCAAACTGAGATTTTCATTTTTTTTTTATAAAACGGAAAAAATGGTTGACATGATTGATTAACTGTCAATTTTGCTGACTAAAAAAAAACCCAGATTTTTAACGAAAAATAACATTGCAGATTATTCTTTGGATTTTATCAAGAATATCTAAATATATACCAAGAGTACCAGACTAGACGTGGCAGCAATATTCAAAGCAAGGGCAGATGGTTGATGTATAAATATGTTAAATAGATTCTAGGGAGAAATATTGTCCAGCATGATGTTATTAATTAATTTACCTATGTTTTTAAAAATAATAACATATATAAAGTTGATATTTTGTGAGGTCCTTACTATTATTATTAGAAGGTATATCTTTAAATGTATGTTATTGTCAATTCTTGTTATAGTACACTTTCATTAAATCATTTTTTTTCACTTTCACCTCCTGGAAATTTGAATATTAATCTCAACAATTCTAGTCTAATCTATTACATTCATTTACGTGCTTGGGAAAAGTATCAATCCTTTTCTCCCCCACCCCTAAGCTATGGCTAAATAGCAGGACAAACCGAGTTGTATAGCCTTGGATGACAACTGGTCTACTGCAGAAAGTGATGGCAACCTACTACGGGAAAAAATCCGCCTCGAAAGATACATGATCACCTAAGCATGTATCATGCATGGCACATAACTGACTGCCAATTCCTCTTCTTCTGCTCACTACCATGTTCCTTCAGAAGTTGAGGATCATGACTCTCCACAACATCCCTTATCCCCACCAAACAGAAAACATTAAGAATTCTAGATAAACTCAAAAAAAAAAAAAAAAATGATGACATTACTTAGTAAAGGTATGAATCGTCTTCTTCTCCCTCCAGTTATGGGTAAATAGCAGGACAGACCAGGTTCTATAGCCTTGGATGGCAACTGGTTTCAAGCAGAAAGTAATGACAACCAACTGTGGGAAAAAATCTGCCTTGTCAATCATGTATCGAAAGATACATGATCGCCTAAGTGTGTATCATGCATGGCACATAACTGATGTTGGTAACAGAATGATGTCTAGAGAATAGCGGGTGCTTGCCTAATATACAAGCAAAAGGAATTAGCAAGAGAACAGAGTTGCAAAGCATGAAAAGACATTTTTAATGAGTCAGTCTTTTTATCTGGTTTTGAAAAAAAATCAAAATAAAATGTCTACCATTAACATAAAGACACTGTCACCCAGCGTCACCAGGTTAAGGGAAATAAGTTTGATAGATTAAAAAGTTACTGAAAAATATACACGTACATGTGGATGGAGGATGCGATGGATAAATTGTCGAAATTATGCAAAATGAAAATAATGCTGACATCTCATTTTTCATATATATTCACCAAAATACACAAAAATATCTTGAAATACTAAAGAGTAAATTTATTCAATAAAATCGCCATTGGCTTCAACAACGGCCTCCGGACGACTTCAGAATCTCCTGCATCTCTTCTGGACGGTCTCCTTGTGTAAATTGGCGAATGCTGCCATAATCTTTGCCCTCAGTTCCTTTTTGGTGTTACAAGGAGTTTTTTCTTTGGTCTCTTGCTCAACTGTATCCCACACATAATAATCAAGGGTGTTGCAGTCTGGGGAGTTAGATGGCGAGATGTAAAGGGTGATATGGTTGCAGAAATTGTCTAACAGCCATGACTGGGTTCTCCTACTTGTGTGGTTTTGGTGGAGAGTCCTGTTGCCAAACATAGAGTCTTCCAGCAGCCACCCTCTTGACCCAGGGTAACACCACCACTTGATGTACTTGATGTAGGCCTCTGTGTTGAGTCTGAGGCCCTCACTAACAAATTTGGGAGTTCTTTTCTTATCAGAACGAGTAAGTTTCCTGAGCCGCCGTATTTTCATATTCATTAGACTCTTTCCAAATCCTCTGCACTGTCCTCAGATTGACACCTAAATACTCTGAAATATTTGTATTGGAGCTACTGGTGTGAATGCCAATTTTCTTATAGGCTTTGCCCAACTGACCCTACTATACTGTGTAGTTGGGAAAATCAAACACAAACAGCGCATATGCACAAAATGAAAAACATAAAATGGTGACAATTTACCCATCGTACCCTGTAATTAACAAAATCTTTTTATGATATCATTCTTTCTTCCTTGCTGGAAGGGTGAGATTTTAAACAAATCATGTGTCTTCTTTTTCAACATCAAAGCCAAATCTTCACCTTCAGAAGGTTCTGGTGAATAGTCTAAGGGTTACAATAAATTTCATTAGGTCTTAGAATAAGCCATATCACAATTAAACATCAGTTCTCATATGAACACTGAAGTTAAATAACATTGAACTTAGTCAATACCAGGATGGCTGACCACCTGGGAATACCAGGTGCTGTAAGCTTGGAAGTGTGGGTGATGTAATAATGGCTTGGAATTGGAAAGTTCTAATTCCAGTTAGGTTTATTCACTTACGTGCAAATACCTGTAGGAAAGGTTTGAATCCATTTCTTTTCCACACACCCCAGCTATGGGTTAAATAATTGGATTTGTATCAGTAAATCAAAAAATTCTTAAAAACTAAAAATATTTTCTGGCTTTTAACAACCTGCAGAAGGTTGATAAACTGTAAAAAAAAATTCAGTCTTAGAATAAGGCAAAAGCATCATAGCAGATCTCTAGTGTAAAAAGTGAAAATATGCTTCAAAAAATAACCTGATTTGTCATACTTCGGAACAAATATGAACTGAGACTGTAAAAAAAAAAAGAAAAAAAGATTGGATTGTTTTCTCAAGATAATTGACCTCAGTCTCTATGGGATGGATTTACCTCATTCTCTATGGGATGAATTTCTCACTGTCTATATAGAATGGATTTACCTTAGTCTTTACAGGATGGATTTGGTCAATAAAATGTGTCATTCTTTAGAACAACAAATATGAACCGAGACTGTAAAAAAAAGAAAAAAGGATTGGATTGTTTGGTCAAGATAATTTACCTCAGTCCCTATGGGATGGATTTATCAGTCTGTAGAAAATAAATTTACCTCAGTTCCTAGGAGTTGGATTTATCTGTCTGTATAAAATAGTTTTACCTCAGTCTCTATGGGATGGATTTATCACTCTGTATAAAATAGATTTACCTCAGTCCATAAAATAGATTTACCTCGGTTCCTATGGGATGGATTTATCAGTCTGTATAAAATAGATTTACCTCAGTCTCTATGGGATGGATTTAATATATCTTCATTTTCCTTTAATCATATAAGTGAAACATTTTCTTGTTGCAAAAGCCATTAAAAGCAGAATTCTTTTCCTCAAGAGTCCAAGATTCTTTCAACAAGGAATAAAAGAATTACTTTCCTTGAAACATTTTCTCATTAAGACAATGTCTATAATGGACACTATAAAGCAAAAATATAATTGTAATGATTTAATAATATTGCTGGTATAAGGTTTTTTGTTTACTAAAATTTATTTATTAAAAACTAACATACACTCGAGATTATTAAAATGTAAGCATTATTTGTTGAGTTAATTTTTTTAAATGATTCATATTTTCTTTTGACAGATGCGTCATCTCACTGGAAAAGTTAATGAGATTTAATATTCACATTTCCAGCATTGACCAGCATTCAGAAAATAACAAAAAGGCCTGATGGAGAACACTGCCATTTTCTCTGTGTATATTTTCCCATCCATCAACTGTTAAAATTGTCATAAAAGGAAAGGTGTGAATTTACATATTGGCAAACAGCAGCTTTAAAATTCCACATGGAAAAAAACAGTACAGAAAAGCAATATTCTTGTAAGGAATGTGGATCAACATTTTCATCAAATTTAGATTTAAAATGGCATATGCAAACACATATTGAAAAGAAGCCATATTCTTGTGAAGTGTGCGGTTGCACATTTTCACAAAACTCATCATTAAAAAGACATGTACGGACACACACTGGAGAAAGACCATTTTCCTGTCACATATGTGGATCTGCATTTTCACAGAGTTCAACATTAAAAAGTCACATGCGAACACACACTGGAGAGAAACCGTATTCTTGTGAGATATGTGGATCTGCATTTTCAGGAATTACAACATTGAAACAACATATGGTAACTCATAGTGGAGAGAAACAGTATTCTTGTAAAGTGTGTGGATCTGCATTTTCTCAAAATTCACATTTAAAAATACATGTACGAACTCACACTGGAGAAAAACCATATGTTTGTAAGGTCTGTGGATTTGCATTTTCTCATAACCCATCTTTGAAGAAGCATATGCGAACGCACACAGGAGAGAAACCATATACTTGTGAGGTATGTGGATCTGCATTTTCAAGTAACTCATCAATGAAAAGACATATGCGAATACACACTGGAGAGAAGCCATATACTTGTGAAGAATGTGGATCTGCATTTTCAAAAACCACATCTTTGAAAAGGCATAGAGAAACACACTGTGAAGAGAAACCCTATGCTTGTGAAGTGTGCGGATCTACTTTTTCATCAAAATTAAACTTGAAGCAACACAAGGAAAGCTCACACTGAGCAAAAATGATATCTTCACTAAAACTTTGAGAAGAGTCATTAAGATATCCAACATTAAATAGGTGGTCAAATCTCTTTGTATATTTGCTGTTAGTATCACAATATCTTGATTAATCCATTACATTGTGATAACAATAGCAAATATACATAGAAGCATTTTGAGTGTCCAAATAATGTTGGATATATAGTGATTATATAGTTTTATAATGTATAAATTTACACTTTAACAAAATCAATATTTGAAAATCTTTAAGAAAGATACACTGAAAATACTCCATAATTTTGCAAGGTTTTGTGATTTACATTGTTCAGAAATCTTATCCTTAAAGCAACACATGGAAAATGACAGAGGAGAGAGATTTTACAAATTGTGGGCATCTGTATTTTAGATAACATTTGAAAAGCTATGTGCAAATGCATAATGGAGTGAAACCTTGTTACTGCAAAGTGTCTGGACATGCTTTTTTTTTTTTTTTTTGAGAATTCTGTTTTGAAGCAGCTTAGATGACCCTATCCTTGTAAAATGTGTGATTTGCATTTTCATGCACTGTAATTTATTCAATAGACATATGTGAACACATACTGAAGAGTAAAGCCAATAAGATGTAGTACCAATGATACCACTTTTTTTTACTACCTTCATTCCTTGGCAATGTTTATTGTTTTAAAAAGTGATGTTTAGAATTGGAATTTAAACCTAAACACATAATGAAAGTGAATTTATACATTTTTTTGTTCTTGAGAATGTTCCACAAAAATATTAAACACTATTAGATTGTTTATTTACAAGAATTATTTTATATTTACAACATTGTAAAAACTAATACAATGCAATATTTATCATCTACCAATTTACAAAGAAATAAATGTGAAAACAATGATTTTTGGTAAATTTATAAACATTTACTAAACTATTAAAATATGTGAACCAACTATAAGGAAATTCTTTGTTGTTAAGCTATTAATATAAATTGCAATAATAGATGTTTCTTTCATTGTAAACAAATTAATATAGCAGCAAAAGATACCAAAATGATATTAGCTGTATTTCGATAAATTTCAATTTCTTTTAACTTAACATTATATTCCTTTCATATTTGAATTCAATAAGAAAAACTGGTATATTGGCGCTTCTAAAAGCTTAAAACAAAATTTTCCAGTCTGGAGGGAAGAAATTCAGATTTCCAAACATCCAAACAGTTATATTAATAGTGGGGGGGTGTAGAGGGCGAACTCCCACCACCCCACTAAATTTCTGAGAAAATATTTTTTTGTTGCAAAGTAGATCAGGTAAACTAATACAAGGTGGTGTAGAATTAATCGAACTTAAGTCAACATTAACCCATCGCCATAACATTTAATCTTATGAAACGATTTTAATCTTACTGATAGCTTTAAATCAAAATTTGAAAATGATAATCGAAAGAAAATAAATCAAAATTTGAAAATGATCAGCTATAATGGAAAAAGCTTTTTTATTGTAATATTGTATATTTTATTAATAAATTTTTTCGATTTGTTTTTAACTACATTTTACTCAAGTAAATTTATATTGACACAGAAAAAAATAATACATTACAATTTTATTCAATTTTCTTCAAGCACAGCCAAAAAAATAAACATTTTTTAAAATTATTTTTTAAAATACTATTTATGGAAAAAAAAATTTCAACATAATTGAAAATTTAATATGAAAATTATAATATATATATATATATATATATATATATATATATATATATATATACCATATAAAGTCAGACTGACTTTCCTGACTGATCGATCCATTTAGGTGAAACCTAGGTAGGTTTGTCTGGCTCACTAGGTGTATCTAGGTCTGCTCTCTACGGTTGTATTGAGCGCTTTGTTAGTTGTTTTGTATGGGTTTTTTTCTTTGAGCTTCAGACCTGCATCTGTGCGATTTTTTTGTCGACAAGAAGTTCATGTTTGTAGCTCTTTTCTTTTTAAAACCTTTTTTCCCTCGAGATTGATTTGATTAGCAAATCAAAAATTCAAGGGTTTTTCGAAACGAGTCTAGTTATCTATATTTATATGTATATATACATATATATATTTCGGGAAATAGTATGACAAATTGGAAAAAGGTTTTGTGACATGTTTCATCCGTTATGATTTCAGTGGTCTGGTCTTTATTGATGTTGCCACCTCTACATGTGCACAAAATGAGTGATGCTGGTAGTTTCAAAATCTTGGAAAGAATATTTTTCTTTTCAATCTAGTCAAATTCTTTTTCTTTTTCTCTCCCTAACTATCCCACATTGTGACAACAGAAATCTACCTAGAATGGTGATATATTGTAAGAGGCTGGATGCAAATTTATCGTGGCCGAACTAATGATCAAGGCTCTTTCCAGATATTTTTGTCTTAGTGAATTATTTTCTCTTAATCAAAGTAGTAATCCCTCTGTTGAAATTGAGGTCATTTTCATTACAATGCGTTGTTTTTTTAAAATATACCGTTTCTGTTCATAGTCTTTTATTTAAACTTCTTGAGGTTTCTCCAATCTATTCATTCTGGTAATTCCTGCATTTGATAGAGTAAATTCCTCCTTCAAGTTTTGGCTGTTTTTTTTTTTTTATTATTGATTAAGTCATTAATTGCTTTAGATGTAATTGTGACAAATTTTATATTGAGTTTATCAGAAAGAACAGCCTTTCTGTTTTGGAATAGTTTTGCATTGAATAGTTAAGGTATTGAAGATTCTTGAAAGTATTTTCAATATATTTCTACTCTTCGTGTAAATATTGAGGGCTGCAAATTCTGAGTGCTCTTAAATAGAATCCAATGATCATTCCAGATTTTATTTTGTTGTTATAATGGGAAAACATAAACCA